TTGAACCATAAATAATTTACTCACCTTCACAATACCATGCACTGACGGAGGTGAGCTGGTTATTGAATACACCAGGAAGGACCTGTGCTTCACCACGGTCCACAACGATAACCGAATTCGTTTGGTAGTGACTGACTGACTCTGAAAAATTCAATGCTGCAGGCACTCTGACAATAGCAAATTCCCACGGGCGACAATACACGTCGTTCGTGATGCACATGGGTTAATTCAGATTTGAACAAAGCCTCTTGCAATAACCCCTTTCTGCCAATATGCATATGCACGTCGGCGCGAATTCATTAACAGCAGATTTATATCTGCATCCTGCATAGCACTTGTTAATCGAAACACCTGGCCCACGCGATACTATGGACTTCAGTGCAGTTTTCAAAGTGACCCGGCACTTGTTACAAGAAAACACCCTTCCGCTTAATTTGAAGTTTCCCCACTCGCTCTCATCCCCCAATCACATATCCCTTCAGTTATCAGACCGCGTCTTTCAACAACTCAAAGTTCTCTTCTTTCTTCTGCTCCACGCATTCCTTCTCGTAGCTTAACCACGTCTCATATCTTCATTTCTCGCCTGTCTTCAAATAAGAACAGTAACGACTCATGGAATTTCCCAGACTACGACTTTGATCAAGATTAAATTAGCTTACTTGGCAGGGTGCGTAGAATCTCGGGTTTTGTTAAGCGATTGACCCAAAATGCCCGATAGACCTTGGGTGTATCCTGTCCTTCAACAGCTCAATTCCACCTCTCTTCTCAACAAGATTGCACGCGGTATCACTGTTGCCAGAGGCCCAAATGACTGGCCCCAATTTGTGACCACGACACATGCTAAGATTTCATGACAATCGCAAAGGCTGATTATAAGGAGAGGATTGCTCAGTACGTCTTCCCTTCCCTACCACCTCCCTTGTCTTACTATCTCTTTTCACAGCATTTCGCACAGTCTACAACGATACAAGCATGCTTTCCATCACCCGTGCCTGTGTCCTGCTCACTGGTGTCGTTCCACAGAACAGTTACTTACTCCCTCTAATCTCAGTTCATTGACGCTCAACGCCTCGCAGAGAAACACTCGCAAGTCCACCCCGTCCTAGACTTCCAACTCCACCTTTGGCACCGCCGTTTTCCACATCCGCGACTCTGCATCCGTTCTCTCTGCGCAGGTCATTCAATTTGACTCTTGCAAGCTCCTGCGACATGCACGCGGACAAATCTGTTCAATAATTCACAATTTCTCCATATCGGAAGGTTTGCCGACCTAGCCCCAGACGCTACTTTGGTACAAATATGTTCGACAAGGAAAGTCAAAACGCCCCATTTGCACCACAAATTCAAATAAAAAATTGACAACCCCACTCACACGAGGGAACCTTCGTGGTCGTTCCTTGCGTCGCCAGATACTCATGCAAAACATCCCCTTTCCCTACTGGCGGCATTGCAAATTACAACTGCAAGTTCTGTACACAAGGATCTGACTAAGGAACACGAGTCAGGACTTCCAAATGAAATTCAGAGCGTCTCCGTCTCGCTAACTCGGCCTTGGTACTTGAGCCCGAGAGCGTAAATACAAAGATATGGTGAGGGCCCAGTGCGACTGACGAAAACTGATTGCAAAATGCACCACAGCAATTTCATCATGCAGCCCGCGGTTGACATTTCGATATGTTGAATGGGTGACGGGGGAGCTGTATAGCCTGCAGGGAGCTCGTCTGCATTATCATCGCATGAATGGGTATGATTTGGAGTCGATGTCTTGATCTATATCTAATATGTGACGTTGTTAGCTTTGTGGGGTAGGAGCGTGATCTACCTGAGAACGCAAATAAAAGAACAGTGGGATGCCACAAGTCGACTCTCGAATCCGGACCGTCAATTATGATCTGCGTTGTGGGAACTCAACACTGACATGAATTTCAGATATCCTCGCCAGTACTATGCCATCATTCGAATATTCATTGTTAATGTTAACGTTCAGCCTCCCCATGCGCGTCACCGATATTAGACCCAAAGTTAATATTTATGACACATTGATTCCTTCTACGTACTCCATAATGATTGGTCTGACTTGACACCTCGTTACGTCTCTTTCAACGTTCTTCGGAACGAATAACTTAAATACATATTACAACGAAATATTTGCGAGGACCTATGTCTCCTTGAAATGCACTGCGCAACACCGAGTAAATAAGTACCACAACGAAACTTGTATATCAAGAAAAAAGACAATTCTCCTGCTCCCTGCAGAGCACCAAACTACCGTTGACTCCGTTGAGCATCTCCCATGCTACACGCCACTGCCTGTCGATATTTGCACGCGCTCCTGGAAAGCGATTGAGGACATGCCGGTTGCTGCATCAGAGTCTGCCACGAGCCGAGCGTGGTATTCTCGAACACTTAGGATGAGGCGTGGTCCCAGCACAAAGTACTGTATGGCTTGCAAAATCTGACCAAAACCAAGAAGAATCTGACTGTCCACGGAAAATATGTCCTATAGAAATGATGAACGGCGGTCGCATGGAGAGGTCAGTAAAATATTGCCATACCGCTAAGATCTTTGGAGACAAACCAACAATGAGGTTGAAGCAAGATGCAGCAACAAAGCTAGCGCATTCAATCATTCAGCGGAAAAGGGAACCACATTCACAATATGAGCTCACCTCGCGAAGTAAAGCACGTGGGATTTTATCAACACCGTGAAACAGTCCCCGATAATCCCTCCTGCCGAATGTTGTCGCAGTTCACGGAAGTGTTTTACAGCAATCCAGACTGCGAGACACAGTGCGAGGACCTCCCAGACAGTGCTGAGTATCCAAGTCATGGAAGCCAGAAGGAGGGCATTGTCCCCATTGCCAATCATGCACGCATATGTGCCAGAGATAATGAGTTCCTCTTGTATTCATCAATGAGCCCCATGCACGGTTTTCATTCACAATTAAGTGTACCCCCTGAAATATGCCTCATTCCCATTGCCATGACCACTACGTCGAAAATGTTGACAGGCAAGCACACGACGACGAGAAATATCAGGATCCTTCTGGATCGTTGATGCATGGCATGTAACCGAGCGATCATGATGACTGCAACATGTTTCGGTCAAGCCAATATCATAGGTCTTGTAACTGCACAACTCACCACATAGCATTGGTAATGCCACAACAGTCGTCCAATTGCACATGAGGAACAGAATCCGGCCTGAGAAATCCGGTTAGTGATGGGCCTTGGGTGGATCACACACGACAAACAAACTCACATCTGTAGCAGTCATGATAGTAAACGAAGGAGCTGGCCAAGAATGACACTCACCCCTACAGGGCGTCGCGGTTAATTGAATGGGAATAGCAGGCATTGGTGCAGAAGACTCACTGCATCTGTCAACAAGATCGTAGGAACATTGACTGCATGCTACTGTTCAGAAGATACACACACGGTGAATGCGAGAAGACTTACTCGGTATGTTCAGGCTGAGTGCGAGAGATGGGTGATTAGCACAACGCCAATTGTTTAGTCTTCTGAACATACATGACAAACAATACTCCAAGATAGCGCACCTAGGATATCTTAAAGTCAGCACAAAATCACAATAGGCAAGGTACGTACACTCAGATAGAGAACGGTCATCAGGGACCAATGTTGTCTCTGTCACAAATCAACATTGTTCTTCTGACGTGGAACTCTGCTCACCCAAATCAGTTCGACCTACAAACCAATCTTAGCAAGATGGCTGCTCCGGTCATAGCATCAACCTACCTCTTGTCCGAACGTAAGGGCTGGAAATACTTGTAGGAAATCAGTAATTCTCTAATGTTATGATGCTCACCCCAATCATACGTCAATCCAACAAAGGCGGCAACTGGGACACCACAGTCAAGGTCAGATCGAGACATGAGCGCCGAAATCTGACTGCGCTTCACGAACCTATAAAATAGCTGCCAATACGCCAAGTGTTGATGAGTGGCCAATAACTAGGGTCATCTGAGACCAGGGTCATACTGTTAGAGGATGGATGTGAGGGAGCGGGGAACTTTGTGGACATACAATGATGATATTCGTGCTATATATACTATAGCTAGCCGTGACCATCCAGTGCTTGTATGACCTATAGATATCCGTTCCTGTCAATGGATATGATGTCATGTTCGAAGTGATGTAGCGGGCCTTGTATAAAATGGCGGTGATGCGAAAGTGATCGGGTGTTATAATATTAAAGGTTCGATGCCAACGATCACCGCACCCCGTGCCAACGGCAGAACCGTTTAGTGTTGGTGCGGCATTGTCTTCCCTTCTATCGAAGTTGTTCACTACAGGTACTAGTAGATCTCTTATATCGTTGATCTTCATTCTAATAGCCAATGTTTCCAGCCTGTACTTTATCAGCGAATAAATAATGATTTCAAGATGTGCTCAATGTACGTAGAACAAGTTGGTCATAACACATTTGCACGGGCAGAACTTGAACACCGCAAAAGATGAAAGAACATCTAGAACTGTTCGTGATTTTTTTTGTCACCTTGCACCTGATACCATTCTTACATGCTGGTCATGATGGACTTAGTATTTTCAAATTTGCATCGTGGAGTTGGTGGGGTGGTAACAGGTATCAGTTTTCACAGCCAGAGACATCGTGGTTGAAATTCCGCGATTGATATCTGGTGAAGATAAAACACCATCTTTAGCTCAAGATAGCAACATGGGGGAAAAGAAAAGTGGGAAGCACCGTTAATGACCGCATCAAGCCTAGACTTGTTGTTCTTGGACCTAGCTGCCAGCGCACACCTTCAACGTTGAATACAATGAAACCCGATGCGAAACGTACCACAATAAATCCATCATGTAGTTGTCTTTAGCCTCCGATTTGGTCTTTGACGGTTTCATCGTCACGATCGATGTGGATCGTCATAGGAATGTTTCTGTGGTAAAACGTGGATAGCTTGATCAGAAAGATCTCACCACTCCAGGGCCTGTGCGCAGTTGGACATTCAAATGTTGATCTATTTGGAGTGTCTAGAATATGTTTCAAGGGGTACAACATAGTATTTGAACAAGCTATACGCCGTTAATAACGCAGGAAAGCGGGATTCACATCCAGCTGGGGCAATCTCCTCGAATGAAGTCGGAGATAACTTCATCGAGTAGGCGCTCAGATCGATCGTTCCACCTCCGGCATCAATGACAACGACCCCCTGGCTGTCAGATTGATTTTCCTCCTCGTCGGCATAATCTGAAACATCTATAGGGTTTTTAGAGGATATATCCGATGCAATCGCATTGGTAACACAGAAATGAAGACTCGCTTCGCCCTCAGTCAAGAGGTGCACGTGAGATTGCTCCTCCTTAGATGATATTAGACCAGCGAGCTCGACAGCGCGTCTAATCTGTTGTTGTTGTTGGCCTTCCCAACCGTTCGGATGTGTGAGCACAAACTCAATAGAATTCTCGACCGATCTCCAGAAATTCAAATGTGATTCCTGGATGTAAGTCCGAGCGCATTGGAAGAGGTAGCACATGAAGTCGGCGAGGACTTCCACTGCGGATTTGCCTCGTGGGAGAGATGGTATATCGTCCTCCCGTATGTGAGACGATGCCAGATGCTTAGCGCGAAGATGAAGTTTCCACCTGACCGAGATTAATATACAATCTATGCTTTATCCTCGACGATTTACATACCATTCTAGCTTCACCCATCCCTCGTTTTCTGCCTGTTCGATGATATTCTCTTGTAAAGCCTCAGCACCCACGGCGCGGACGTCTCCTTGAAGATCATAGTAGAGAATCGATGGTATTTTGGAGTCACCTCCGACATGCTCTTGCGCAGGATATCTACAATCCCACCATGAGCAAGAGACACTATGGTCGAGCTGGCTACTGACCTTGCTACTCCTCGAATAACAGGCACCTCCCCTGGGTCTAGCATACAATACGAGACTCCACTGAATGTGGTCCCGACATCAAATGCAAGCACTAATTTTCGCGTTGAACCCTTGTACGGTTCACGTGGAAGCATGATAGTAATATGTAGCCTGGAAGTTGGCGTCCTGGTTGAAGTTTATATACAAAGGGGCTTGCAGCTGCTTGACGTTTCGAAGGTCACATATATATTTGACCCGTTCTGAACAGGGCAGATCCAAACCGGAGTTCTACGCCCAGTTTCGACAATTCACTATGAAATTTATCTGAGTTCAGATATTGTGCGCAAGTAGCTTCGAAGTTCGAGGTTTCATGGAACCCTGTGTGCATGTATTCCACATCTCGGCACGCGTCGCTCGAATTGCCAATTGGCCTGGCGTATGCGGCCGGTCCGAGAGAAGAGAAGTTAGACGATCAAAGGTTCATGAGTCCCGGACCGCTGGAGACAGAAATATAGCTGATGAATCAAATTCTAGGATGCCAAGAGAGGCGAACTAGCCAATATTAAGTATATCATGCTGCCCCGGTCCATTAACATCAGCACACACCCAGCCCAAAACGAAACAAGAAACACACGTGCCAATCCAATCAACACCAAAGTACGGTACATCACATCATACGCGCATATCATCCTATCCATGCCCCAGCCCACAAACGCGTCCCGGCGCCCTCGAGACTCAGCACGCCCGTGCATTCGGGTCCAGTGGGTATGTTCCAGATGCTGATGAATCTACCCTCGTGTCCAAGATAAGCGAACCCCGTGTGTGATTGGAGCAGTGTACCGCTCGTTACAGCGCCGACGTGGTGGGGGTGCTTGGGAGGACGCTCGTGGTGCGTGCCATGCTGCCTGGGGTGAAATGTCGTAGAGCCTGACGATGGGCACTGTAGTGGGTCCAGAGCCGTTAGAGTCGCTGTGGACACTGACAAGTGTTCTCGACTGGCGCGTGGTGATAAGAGCTTCTGGAACTAGCACTGGTCTTAAGAGCAGGGGGACAGCAGGGGATTGAACTGGCTTTTTGGCTGAGCGAGATGGAGGAGGCGGTGGTGGTGCAGACTTTTGGCCCGGACTTAAATCAGAGTTGGAGGAGGCGTTCCGTAGTTCTCGATGTTGTACACGGGAATCATCCTTGCGCTGGCGAGGCCATGTAATTGGGTTTGATTTGAGTGGCAGGGTCGTGTTATCCTGAGCAAGCTGATATATTATGCTGGTGAACTTATTCATGCGAGGAGCTCTTTGACTCGTTCAAGTTGAATTTTTTCGAGCTCTTCTTTGTGGTTTTACCTCTATCTCTTCGATTTGATTACGAGTACTTAATCGTCGTGTGGGAGGAACGGAGGTGAGCGGGGAGTTATCTGTTGCGAGGACCTGGTTGTTGGATCGTATGTAGTTGAACTGTACTCCTTGAAGATACGATAATCAGTGAACACTATGCAACTTTTTTCTTTGAAACCTTCTAAAAATCCAACGCTGCAGCCACTCTGACAATAGCAAATTCCCACGGGTGACAATACATGTTGAACTTTCCTGTACGATACGTCCGAGTCGTTCGGTGAGTCGCCGAGGACTTGCTCATGGGTTAATACAGATTTGAATAAAGCCTCTTTGCACGTCGGCGCGCATTCATTAACATTACCCAAACAGCCTGGCCCATGCGATACCGTCTATGGACTTCGGTGCAGTTTTCAAAGTGACCCGGCACTTGTTACAAGATAACTTCCTCTCCTGCACAAGCTTCCCCACTCGCTCTCATTCTCCAACCCACATACTCCTTCAGTAATCAGACCGCGTCTTTCAACAACTCAAAGTTCTCTTCTTTCTTCTGCTCCGCGCACTCTTCTCGTAGCCCATTCACGTTTTTTCATTCGACTCATGGAATTGTTCAAACTACGACTTTGACAACCCTAAGCGTAAAGTGGAAAGGAAGATCAGATTAGGTCACTTGGCATGGTGCGTAGAATTTCGGGTTTCCTCAAGCGATTGACCCAAAATGCGCGATAGACCTTGGATTTGTTACCTTCTCATCTTATCCTGCCTTTCAACAGCTCAATTCCACCTCCGGACTTTCTCAACAAGATTGCGCACGGTATCACTGTTGCCAGAGGCCCAAATGACTGGCCCCAATCTGCGACCTAAGATTTCACGACAATCGCAAAGGTTGATTATAAGGAGAGGATTGCTCAGTACGTATTCCCTTCCCTACCACCTCCCTTGTCTTACTATCTTTTTTCACAGCCTTTCGCACAGTCTACAACGACACAAGCACGCTTTCCATCACCCGTGCCTGCGTCCTGCCGACTGGTGTCGTTCCACAGAACAATTACTTACTCCCTCTACTCTCGGTTCATTGGCGCTCAACGCCTCGCAGAGAAACACTCCCAAGTTCATCCCGCCATCGAATCCCAACACCACCTTTGGCACTTCCTTTCCCACATCTGCGACTGTGCATCCGTCCTCTCTGCGCAGGCCATTGACTTTGACCCTCGCAAACTCTTGCGACATGCGCCTGGACGTGGACGACGACATTGAAGACCTGTTCAAATTCAGAATTTCGCGGTAGCAAAAGGTTTGCCGACCTAGCCCCAGGCGCCACCTTGGTACAAATACATCCAACGAGGAACGTCAAAACGCCTCGTTTCCACCACAAATTCAAATCAAAACTGGGACCCCCACTCAATCTGTGATCTCCTAACCAAAGACACCTCCATCTAAATCTCGAGTGCTACCATAGCAGCCACGCCCATCGGACAACCTAAATTCCTCAAGGGACCCATGCCTTTCCTATCTGTCTCCCTTGACGAAGAGGAGAACGCACGTTCTCAACGTGCGAAGAAGCCCCATACGAGGGAACCTTCGTAGTTGCTCCCCACGTCCACAGATGCTCATTCAAACCATCCCCTTTCCCTATTGGCGGCATCGCAAATTATAACTCCAAGTTCTGTGCACATGGGTCTGACTAAGGAACACGAGTCAGGGCTTCCAAATGAAATTAACAGCATCGCCGTCTCGCTAACTCGGCCTTGCGACTTCAGTCTGGGAGCGTAAATGCGAAAGATATGGTAAGGGCCTAGGGCGACTGACGAAAACTGATTGCAAAATGCACCACAATAATTTCATCATGCAGCCGCGGTTGACATAATCGATATGTTGAATGGGTGGCGGGGGAGCTGTGTAGCCTACAGGGCTCGTCTGCATTATCATCGCATTAATTGGTACGATTTGGAGTCGATGTCTTGATCTATATCTAATATGTGACGTTGTTAGCTTTTTGTAGGGTAGGAGCGTGATCTAGCTGAGAACGCAAATAAAAGAACAGTGGGATGGCACAAGTCGACTCTCGAATCCGGACCGTCAATTATGATCTGCGTTGTGGGAACTCGACACTTGCTTGAATTTCAGACATCCTCCCCAGCACTATGGCATCATATGAATACTCAAAATTCAATGTTCAACCTCCCCATGCGCGTCACCAATATTAGACCCAAAGATTAATATTCATGCCACGCTGATTCCTTCTACGTCTTCCATAATGATTGGTCTGACTTGACACCTTGTCATGTCTCTTTCAACGTCCTTCGGAACAAACAACTTAAATACATATTATAACGAAATATTTGCCAAGACCAATATCTGCTTGAAATCCACTCTGCAACAACAAATAAATAAGTGCCCCGACGAAAGTTGAAAATCAAGAAGAAAAACAATTCTCCTGCTCCCCGCAGAGCACCAGACTATCGTTAACTCCGTTGAGCATCTCCCATGCTACACGCCACTGCCTGTCGATATTTGCACGCGCTCCTGGAAAGCGATTGAGGTCATGCCGGTTGCTGCGTCAGAGTCTGCTACGAGCCGAGCGTTATATTCTCGAACGCTTAGGATGAGGCGTGGTCCCAGCACAAAGGACTGTATGATTTCCAAAAGCTGACAAAAACCAAGAAGAATCTGAGTGTCCAGGGAAAATTGGTCCTATAGAAATGATGAACGGTGGTCGCATGCAGAGGTCAGTGAAAGATTGACATACTGCCAAGAGCGTTGGAGACAAATCAACAATGAGGTTGAAGCAAGACGCAACAACAAAGCTAGAACATTCAATCTTTCAGCGGAAAAGGGAACCATATTCACAATATGAGCTCACCTCGCAAAGTAAAGCACGTGTGATTGTATCAACACCGTGAAACAGTCGCTGATAATCCCTCCTGCCGAATGTTGTCGCAGTTCACGGAAGTGTTTTACAGCAATCCAGACTGCGAGACACAGCGCGAGGACCTCCCAGACAGTGCCGAGTATCCAAGTCATGGAAGACAGAAGTAAAAAATTGTCTGAATAGCCAATCAGACACGTATAGGTGTCAGAGAGAATGAGTTCCTCTGGTATTCATCAATGAGCGCCATGCACGGTTTTCATTCACAATTAAGTGTACCTCCTGAAGTTTGCCTCGTTATCATTACCATGACCACTCCGTCGAAAATGTTGACAGCCAAGGACACGACGACGAGAAATATCAGGATCCTTCTGGATCGTTGATACATGGCATGTAACCGAGCGATCATGATGACTGCAACATGTTTCGGTCAAGTCAATATCATAGGTCTTGTAACTGCACAACTCACCACACAGCATTGGAAATGCTACAACACTCATCCAATTCCACAAGAGGTACAGTATCCGGCCTGAGAAATCCGTTTAGTGATGGGCTTTGGGGGGATCACACGCTACAAACAGACTCACATCTGTAGCAGTCATGATAGCAAACAAAGAAGCTGGTCAAGAATGACACTCACCCCTACAGGGCGTCGCGGTTAATTGAATGGGAATAGCAGGCATCGGTGCAGAAGACTCACTGCATCTGTCAACAAGATCGTAGGAACATCGACTGTATGCTACTGTTCAGAAGAAAAAACACAAGTAATGAGGGAAGACATACAGAGTATGCTCATGCTGATTGTAAGAGATCATGATGGCAGATTAGCACAACACCAATTGTTAAGTCTTCCGAACATACACAGCATAAAAAATTCCAAGATAGCGCACCTAGGATATTGTCAAGTCAGCACAAATTCAGAACAGGTAAGCTACGTACACTCAGATAGAGAACGGTCATCAGAGACCAGCGTTGTCTCTGTCGCAAATCAATATTGTTCTTCTGACGTGGAACTATGCTCACCCAGACCAGTTCAACCTACAAACAAATATTAGCGAGATGGCTGCTCCGATCATAGCATTAACGTACCTCCTGTCCGAACGAAAGCGCTGGAAATACGTGTAGGAAATCAGCAATTCTCTAATGTTATGGTGCTCACCCCAATCATATGTCACTGCAACAAAGGCGGCAACTGGAAAACCACAATCAAGGTCAGATCGAGGTCAACATCTGACTGCTCTTCAAGAACCTGCAAAATAGCTGCCAATACGCCCAGCGTTGATGAGTGGCCAATAACTAGGGTCGTCTGAGATTAGTGTCATACTGTTAGAGGATGTATGTGAGGGAGAAGGGAACTTGGTGGACATACAATGATGATATTCGTGCTAGATATACCACCACCACCCAGTGCTTAGATGACCGAGGGATGATATCCGTTCCTGTCGATGGATATGATGTCACGTTCGAAGTGATGTAGCGGGCCTTGAATAAAATGGCGGTGATGCGAAAGTAATCGGCACCATAGGTTCTAGTACTAAATAGATCTCATATGATTTATTTTCCTTCTAATAATAGTGTCATCCATAAGATCAACAATGGTTCATTGCGTCGGCATGATGCTAGACCAGAAAAGTCAGCCGTTAGAAATACTAGTAGGGGAGATCCACCTACCCAGGCTAGCAATACCTCCCTGCAAGTACATATCCCAACCTAGTCATTGCCTCTTTGTCGCTTCACGCACACCTTCTCGCTCTCTGCCTCCCTCGTCGGGCTATCCTATCATAAGGATGTCAAAAATGATCAGCACAGAATCCTCTATTTGCATCATGGAGTTGGTGCGGTGGTGACAAGCATCATATTTCACGGCCAGGGGCATCCTAGTTACAATTCAGTGATTGATATCTGATGGAGATACAAGCAATTCCTAGATCAAGACAGCACTGAGAGACGACATGGGCGAAAAGAAGAGTCGAACGCACGGTTATGACCGCATGAAGCCCGAATTGTTGTCCTTTGTACTGCACAGCTTGATCGTGTGCATCTTGATGGTGATATTATTGATATGAGCCTCAGCAGCACCTATGATATCCCAGGGCTGAAGGGGGTAACACTCTGTCGGCACGCCATCAGAAAAGTCAGAGATTTTAAGAAGATAGCACACTTGCCGACAGATGCCAACGCACACCCTCGACGCTTAATCGATAATCTAATGAAAACTGATGCAAAACATGCCACCACAAATGCATCATGCAGTTGATGTGAATGGGGGTCGAGCTCTACTCATGTTGTTCGTAGGGTAGCCTGGGTAGGGACGTGGATTGGAACAACACCTGTGCTCAATCATGCAATAAAATATTGATTTACACAAAGATGTGGGGCGGTTTGCACAGGCGGAACACTTGAACACCGCAAAATTTGAAAGATGAAAGAACGTGAATTTCAACTGTTCGTGATTCCGACACCTTGTTTCCGGGATGAAGTTCTTGTACAGCAGTGCATCATGACAAAGCAATCAAATACTACCTTCCCACATGCTGGTTGTAGTAAGCGCAGCGATTTCTGAGTTGGCCTTTTGTGGGGTGGAGCTTCTTCAGTGGACGGCGTATTCAGAAGACATAGCTTCCTCGATGGTCGGTGTCGCAAGGGAATCATGCTCATTAGGGTAAGCCGCCCGTATATTTTCTGGGCTCTGTCACTGGTCATGATAGAAAATGAGAAGGACGATTGCACAGAGTACTCGCTGCTTTTCTGCTTGGTCCTCTTAAGTAGCAAAGTAATGATATTAATGTCAGTGAGTTCTCGTGTGTATGACAGGATTTCATGACACAGTTGTAGTTGTAGGCTCTATTTTTACCAAGCCACGCCGCTGCCTCGCGACAGCCTCATAGTAATCATTTACTGCATTCCAATCATGCGATCTTCCACGCACTGCAGCTGGACATATATTTGCCCATCAGAATCAAAAAACAATGTCACGGTAACTTTTTGATATTTGCTGTGTTTGAACTTAGATCGTAGCCAGCTGCAGGGGATAGGTTTGCATGGCCGAATGCAACGGAAGTTTGCTGTAGAACATCAGAATTTACTTCCCGTATTTCGCTGCGAGAGCGTCCACCTCGCATCAGCAGGTATTCCCGATCAAACACATGATACGATCACTGAATTAGGCACTATCAGGTACGAGCACCTGCCAATAGCGGCTTTTTCATCCACAGCGACTCTTCTAGTGTGAACGTAATCTCATGGCATCGTAAGTCCTCCGAGCTCGAATTAGTTGATACCATGAACTCTTATCAGAACTACGTCCAACCCATTGCTCTACCTGCCTCGCTATTCCGTTTTCCATTTCATTTGTGACGCCGGGAATTTCTGCCTTCGACACAAGGGCATATACTATTCAGTCTACTAGTTGCAGAGCTGAAGATCGCGCACTGAATGAGCAGGTCGATATTGCCATTGGTACGCATATATGCGTGTTTCTTGCCCCACAGTGATGTTCATCGTGGTCATATATTATGTATACGTCTATGACACGAATGATGTTTATAGTCGGTTGAACGAGTCGTGCAAGTCGCCGTCGTCGTCTTGGTCGAGGAAGAGTGTGGATGTTCGAGGGTGCGGTCAATACCTTGGACCGCCTCAGCATGTTCTACTCGACTTATGATGTTCTGTTGTGTATACCAAACTTGGTGATACTTGAGGTAACATTGATACAGATGATTCAGATGGCACGACTGCTCTACATGATGCTGACACTCTTCTGCAGCTGCAGCATGTGCAAAGAGCTGCATTTCGGTCTTGACACTACTCGTCGTAGACTATAGTTGCTGGGCTCCTATAACAGATTAATGTAACGAAATCAATCACAAAACGGCAAGTCGCGCTTACCGCCTTTCAACACCCTTTGCAATGTTCTCGATCAGCGAGAAAGTAGATCGATGAAATGAGTCGCGAACCTTTTCCTTCCAACTGATCTGGGCTTTCAGTTCCGTGTGGCCAAATAAAATGATGACGTCAAATTCAACCTTGTAATACTTTGCTTGATTTGAAGCTGATTTTTTGGGACGAAGTGTTCGGGATAGCTCGCGGAGGTTGGCATCAATCGTGCATAGCGTGGAAAATGAGGCTGAATTGGATCAAGTCAGCATGTGTGCTCGAGTCAGGAATAATTCATAGTACATCGTTCAACGTCTAACCACCGCGGCTCCTGGAGGGCACCCCCGTAGCGCATTATGTCCACGCTATAACTCTCGCATTTAGCGAGTGATGTTCGTGTAATATAGAAAGGCTTCCGGAATTCGCACAGCTCAGATACTTGAGTTCCCTATAATACAGTTTAACACATACCGAACGAGTGAATTTAATTTTTATTCACCTTCAGCAAAATACTCTGAAACATACTTGGGACACGCAGCACACCGGTGACATCGGTCGTTATCGTGCGTTTTCGGGCCTGGTGTTCAGGATTCTGAGAGTCGTACTGACCGCGGCATTCAATGCCATAAGTGGCGCGTGCAACCCGGGAGGACACTAAGTGGTCAATGTAGAACGAAACTGCCCCATCAGCAACAGCCTTGTTGCTGCGGTTACCTGATAAGTAGAAGTAGTCACGTTGATATTCGAGGGCTTACACATGGGCATCAGGGCGACACAAGCGGATGCCTAGAGGTAGAAAATATTCCTGGACTTTCGCAAACAGCCAGTCGCTGGTAGCGAAACCGCCAACCAACCAAACCAACTTCACGACGATGTCACAATCCTCCTAGTATATGAACGAGATAAAATACTCACATTGATTGGAGTCGAAGCCGCGCGTCTCTGCTGCTCAAAAGCCTCGATGATAGCTTCGACGGCTGGTACAAATAAGTCCGCGACGTCCTGGCTGTACGATAAAACGTGAGTTTTATGGGGAAAGGCATGCTAGAGAATATGGACAAACCCAGCCAATTTCAATTGCCCTGATCGAATGTCATACTCCGGATCCTTGTCACGGATGGTGCCAAACCTGATGTAAGACGGTTCATCAGGCTTACGGAACCGAAGCTTCGTGGTTGTGTCGAAGATTTTCGTCATTTGCTCGATGATCTCAGAGTTGGAGTAGTTCGAGCCCGAAAGTTTCTCTGGGAAATCAAATGACTATTAGTTTTCGGTTGCCTACATGACTGGTTCATTCACGGACTTTGTAAGAGAGTATGAGCGCGACGGGTAACAAAGACTGAGCCCTGCAGGCAACCTGAATGGACTTTAGCACGGGAACAATGCAGGACAACGGGATTTACATTCAGCTGGGGCAATCTCCTCGAACGACGTCGGAGATAACTTCATCGAGTAAGCGCTGAGATCGATAGTTCCACCTCCGGCATCAATGACAACGACCCCCTGGCTGTCAGATTGATTTTCCTCCTCGTCTGCACAATCTGACACATCTATAGGGGTTTTAGAGGATATATCTGATGCAATCACATTAGTAACACAGAAATGAAGACTCGCTTCGCCCTCAGTCAAGAGGTGCACGTGAGATTGCTCCTCCTTAGATGAGATGAGACCAGCGAGCTCGACAGCGCGTCTAATCTGTTGTTGTTGTTGGCCTTCCCAACCGTTCGGATGTGTGAGCACAAACTCAATAGAATTCTCGACCGATCTCCAGAAATTCAAATGCGATTCCTGGATGTAAGTCCGAGCGCATTGGAAGAGGTAGCGCATGAAGTCGGCGAGGACTTCCACTGCGGATTTGCCTCGTGGGAGAGATGGTATATCGTCCTCCCGTATGTGAGACGATGCCAGATGTTTAGCGCGAAGATGAAGTTTCCACCTGACCGAGATTAATATACAATCTATGCTGTATCCTCGACGATTTACATACCATTCGAGCCTCACCCATCCCTCGTTTTCTGCCTGTTCGATGATATTCTCTTGTAAAGCCTCAGCACCCACGGCGCGGACGTCTCCTTGAAGATCATAGTAGAGAATTGATGGTATTTTGGAGTCACCTCCGACATGCTCTTGCGCAGGATATCTGCAATCTCACCATGAGCAAGAGACACAGTGGTCGAGCTGGCTACTGACCTTGCTACTCCTCGAATTACAGGCACCTCCCCTGGGTCTAGCATACAATATGAGACTCCACTGAATGTGGTCCCGACATCAAATGAAAGTACTAGTTTTCGCGTTGAGCCCTTGTACGGTTCCCGTGGAAGCATGGTAGTAATCTGTAGCCTGGAAGTTGGCGTCCTGGTTGAAGTTTATATATAAGGGGGCATGCAACAGCTTGACGTTTCGAAGGTCACATACCAAGGTTGGAGGCGCAGATCAAGGCGTGTGCGCCTCGTGTGGTAATTGATTGTGTGCCGTGCCACATCTCCTAAATATGACCTGTTCTGAACAGGGCAGATCCAAACAGGAGCCCTACGCCCAGTTTCGCGTACAATTCACTGTGAAATTTATCTGAGTTCAGATATTGTGTGCGCAAGCAGCTTCGAAGTTCGAAACTTCGTGGAATCCTGTGTACATGTATTCGACATCTCGGCACGCGTCATTCGAATTGCCAATTAGCCTGGCGTATGCGGCCTGTCCGAGAGAAGAGAAGTTAGACCATCAAAGGTCGACGAGTCCCAGACCGCGGGAGACAGAAATCTAGCTGATAAATCAAATTCTAGGATGCCAAGAGAGGCGAACTAGTCACTACTAAGTATACCGTGCTGCCCCGGCCCATCAACATCAGCACACACCCAGCCCAAAACGAAACAAAAAACACACGCACCAATCCAATCAACACCAAAGTATGCCACATCATATCATGCGCATAACCCCCCATCCATCACCAGCCCACAAACGCGTCCCGATGCCCTCGAGACTCAGCACGCCCGTGCATTCGGGTCCGGCGGCTAGATTCCAGATGCTGATGAATTAGTGGGTCCAGAGCCGTTAGAGTCGCTGTGGACAATGACAAGTGTTCTGGCCTGGCGCGTGGTGACCTAAGAGCTTCTGGTATTAACATTGGTCTTAAGAGCAGGGGGACAGCAGGGGATTGAACTGGCGTTTTTGCGGAGCGAGATGGAGGAGGTGGTCGTGGCGCACGCTTTTGGCCTGGACTCAAATCAGAGTTGGAGGAGGCGTTCCGTAAATCACGGGAATCATCCTTGCGCTGGTGAGGTCATGTAGTCGGGTTTGATTTGAGTGGCAGGGTCGTGTTATCTTGAGCAAGTAAGCTCTTGATTGAAGGAGTTGGTGCAGACTTGATTGCTAGCTGATCCTGGGCCATAAGGACCTGAAATGAATCTTCTCGGCGTCCACCACTTCTCTCGCAGCCGATGAATCTTGCTCGAATCCAGGACCAAGTCGTCGTCGTCGAACCAGACCGCGAAAAGTATGAGATCAGGTTAACTAATAGCCTCGTTGCCGTGGCCGAGATCGGATAGTGTTCATGGTGCCACGGATTACTGTAGCTGCCAAAAACTGAGTGTGTTCCATTTTTAGAGTACCAATAGTCCGAGCTTTCATTTACTCGGGTTTTTCCGGTCTCTACACCATCAAGGTTCCCAGCTCCGAGATGGCTCATGCTTTTCTGCTACTACCATGATTTACTATCGCACCGATCCAGATATTGTATGCAAATCATGGTAGTCTGTATCCACTGGGTCGATGTGACACTCCTGCGACATGTGCTTGGACGCGGACGGTGACAGTGAGGATTTGTTCAAGACTTCAGAATGTTGCTGCAGCGGCAGGTTTGCCGACCTAGCCCCGGGCGCTACTTTGGTACAAAGGTCAAGAAAGCCCCTACGCAGCCTGCCACTCCAAGTATACCTTCAACGAGGAAAGTCAAAACACGGCCCCGTTTCCACCATAAATTCAAAATCTGAAACCCCCACTCCGTCCGTGATATCCTCACCAAAGACACTTCCATCAGGATCTTCGAAGTTCGTGCCAGTATCTAATTAATCTTGATAACAGAGATTATGAAGATGGCGTGTCTTCTGTGTGTCTTTGGGATCTCAAGATGGCGGGTTTACAGGTGTTGTGTTGCTCAAAAAGAGTGGGTAACCTACTGATCCCTTTATTTCGACGTTTTAAGATCATTCTCTAACTTCCTGCACCTTAACTCTCAGGTTCGCGGGACTCGATCCATGTCTTGGAGACTGCAGAGTGCGGAAAACCAACACACTACAAGCTCACATCTGCAGTCATGTTGGAGCTCGTGACCAAACAGAGCAATAAGGCCGATGAAACCTCCGTCCTCGGCGAGCCAGAAAAAACAGTTTCTGAGCATAGAAGTCGTCGGGCGAAATCACTTACTTGGAAGCATGGCGACACAGGTAGGCTGGCTTCCTCATCCAACCTGATGTGGGGTCGTCACAAACCTTCACTTCACGCAGACCGAGCAGAACTCGGTGTTCATCTTCACATATTACGAAATTGAAATTGAAAATGAGAAATTTTCTTCAAGAGGTATGAAGATCTCTTTCTTGAAACATTCGGGACCTGATCGTAGCACAGCTGTACTATCCGCTCATATAGTTTAGTCGCATTAAAACATTGGCTCACAACTAAGTGCTGACCTTGTCCTAGGCGCTACAGTTGGAACACAAGTCAAGAAAGCAAGCCCGTTTTTGAATCTGCGGCGGGGGAGTTGTATAGCGTGCGAGGCGCTCGCCCACATTATCATTGCATGAATGGGTACGATTTGAATTCGATTTCTTGATCTATATATAATGTATCACGTTGTTAGCTTTATGGGACGCAAATAAATGAACAAGTCAAATGGCACAAGTTGACTCTCGAATCTGGACCGTCAATTATGATCTGCGTTGTGGCAACTCAACACTTGCGTGAATTTCAGGTATCCTCCCCAGTACTCACTACGCCATCATTCCAATATTCAATGACAACGACAATGTTCAACGTCCCCGTACGCATGCACTGATATTGGACCCGAAGATTACGATCTACACCTCCATAATGATTATCCTCATCTGACTCAAGACTCATCCTGTCTGTTTTAACGTTCTTCGGAACAAATGACTGATTACACGTTCCGACAAAATATTTGCGAAGACCTCTGTCTCCTTGAAATCCTCTCTGCAACACCAAATACATAAGTACCACGACGACACTTGAAAATCAAGAAAAATGCCAATTCTCCTGCTCGCACTAGACTACCGTTAACTTCATCGAGCATCTCCCGTGCTACACGCCGCTGCCAGTCGAAATATGCACGCGCTCCTGGAAAGCGATTGAGGCCATGCCGGTTGCTGCATCAGAGTCGGCCACGAGCTGAGCGTGGTATTCTCGGACGCTAAGGATGAGCCGTGGTCTTAGCACAAAGGACTGTATGACTTGAAAAATCTGACCTAAACCAAGAAGCGTCTGAGCTTCTAGGGAATATTGGTCCTGTAGAAATGATGAACCGCAAAAGATTGCCATACCGCGAAGATCGTTGGAGACACATCAACAATGAGATTGAAGCAAGACATAGCAACACAGCTAGCACGTTCAAACATTCAGCGGAAAAGGCAACCACATTCAAAATATCAGCTCACCTCGCAAAGTAAAGCACGTGTGATTTTATCAACACTGTGAAACAGTCGCCGATAATCCCTCCTGCTGAATGTTGTCGCAGTTCGCGGAAGTGTTTTACAGCAATCCAGACTGCCAAACACAGCGCGAGGACCTCCCAGACAGTGCCGAGTATCCAAGTCATGGAAAATAGAAGTGGGGAATTGTCCACGTATCCAATCGTGCACTCATATGTGCCAGCGAGAATAAGTTCATCTGGTATTCATCGATGAGGCCCATGCACGTTTCTTCATTCACAATTAAGTGTACCCCCTGAAATATCCTTCGTCGACATCACCATGGTCACTGCGTCGAAAATGTTGACAGCCAAGGACACAACGACGAGAAATATCATGATCCTTCTGGATCGTTGATACATGGCATATAACCGAGCGATCATGATGACTGCAACATGTTTCGGTCAAGTCAATATCATAGGTTTCTTGCAACTGCATGACTCACCACACACTATTGGAAATGACACAACATTCGTCCAAGTATATACGAGGTACAGAATTCGGCCTGAGGAATCCGGTTAGTGATGGGCCTCAGGTGGATCACACACTCCAAACAGACTCACATCTGTAACAGTCCTGATACTGAATGAAGAAGCTGGTCAAGAATGACACTCACCCCTACAGGGTGTCGTGGTTAATGGGGAGGAATGGCAGGCATCGGTGCAGGAGACTCACTGCATCTGTCAACAAGATCGTCGGAACACTGACTGTATGTCACTGGTCAGAGGATACAAACACGATGATGCGAGAAGACTTACTCAGTATGTTCAGGCTGAGTGAGAGATGGCTGATTAGCAAACGCCAGTTGTTTGGTCTTCTGAACATACATGACAAATAATACTCCAATATAGCGCACCTAGGATATGTTAAAGTGAGTACAACTTCACAACAGGTAAGCTACATACACTCAGATAGAGAACGGTCATTAGGGACCAATGTTGCCTCTGTCTAAAATCAATATTGTTCTTCTGACGTGGAACAATAGGGACGACATTTCATCTCCCAGACTCGCCTTCTCAGATGTTGTCGGTAACTTGATTGTGGTCCAGTTGCGAGATCGAGAAGGTCAGTTTAACATTATTTTTGGTCAGTTTATTATGGTCGGTGGCCTATGCAGAAGGAAATTGTCTTTGTGGGGATGATTCTTCCGGCTTCAATGCGTCCTGGCACCACAAATAAGTAGGTATTTCGCGCTTGCATTCGCCACTTTTTTTTATGTGTTTTTATGACCAAACCATTCGAAGGAACAAGCCCTAATGATGATTTTCGAGGCAAGTGATGTCCGGTTTATGGCTCGTCATCTCGCACAATTAGCGGCCCTAACATCCTGTGCTATGATCTGCGCCATGTTGTATTTCAAGATGATAGTACTCAGACGCTGTCGTTCAAAGCACAACGAGACAGTAGATAGACTATGTATTACGCATGCTATCGTTACGGAAAGCGCTCACCCATCGTCGGAATTCTCCATGATGATTTCTGACGGTATCATAGGAACGGGAATGTCGCAGCTATCTGATAGGAAGCGCTTGTTATGCATGAGCGATTATTTGATACCCAGGCCGCACGAGCCTGGCTGCGGACCCAGAATAATACTTTGGATTTGATTGTCCATAGTTCAACATCATTTCATCCCATTTGAAATCGACTCCGCTTCTCCTGCGGATCCTAGACTAATGACCACCGTGTATATACAGCATCCAGGAGATCATGACTCATGAGCGCTTCGTGACTAGATGATGTACATAGTACTGTATGGGATGAAGGTCATGCAAGGTGCCTGCGAGGAACATGAAAGTCCTATGACCGCCGACCGGATCAATTGGCTTCAATCATGCATGTCATATTATAAGCCCTGACCGGCTTCCCCTAGACCTGCTATGAGGTGGGAGCCGTTGCATTAGGTCGGTTCTATGTAGAATCAAGAGATTTCTGCGCTCTCACGATAAGGAATGATTTGTATGAAACTGTTGGGAGTTGCCTACGACACTAGCCGCAGACTGAGGAAACTTTGTCAGTTATTGGACATTATATAATGCAAAGTCCTGTGACCGGATCAAATTGATTCAATGGCTTCAGTCATTCGTGTTATTTGATATCGCCTTCCCTAGACCTACTGCGAGTGGGAGCACATGCATTAGGTCGGTGTAACGTAAGTATTTCATGAATCAAGAGGTTTTTGCACTCTCACGACGTGGAACGATTTGTATGGAGCGATTGTCTTCGTCTGCCGAGGCGACAGTACTAGGCGTGATTGCTGCTTTCGAACTTGCGGATTAATATTTTAACCAGCAGCTATAAAGCGCATGAGCACAGAACTGACGAACAAACAACACGAAAAAACCCCGCTACTAGCTTTAAAATCTCGCATTTTCGACGGTAAGGTTCACTCACCTCACCAACCTGTAGATCCTACTTATAACACTGATAGTCTAGATGAATTTCATGACGGTCATCCTCCTTGCATTTACGGCTGTTAGCCCTCTTAGTGCACAAGCAATGCCTGGCTCCGAGTCCTCATGCGTTTGGCAACAGTGTGGGGTTATCGCGTGCTCGGGACCGGATTTAGTGAACGTCATAGAGTGCACGATAAACGGTGTCCGGTCGCGGCAGTTCTGTTGTACTAGTTAGCGTCGGGAAAGCACTGTAATGCAAATGAGGTAAATCAGCGATGAAATTTTATCAGAACACGTACTGACCACAAAATAGAGGCGAAAGCTTTTAGTTTTGCCCACACGTTGAGATACGATAAAACATCCCAAAAGATTCTAGTGGATTGTCTGGTAGCGTCCTCAGTTGACCTTGTAAAGACTTTTCTGTCTCGCACTTGTCAACTATCGCCAATTAATCAGACTCGTTCTTGATGATTGACTGTACACACTGAGTACAGACCTTATAATCCCTTCAGGGAAGGACTGCTGTGCGGCGACCAGCCTATTGAGCACACTGCGTTATCGAGGATGAGCGGTGGGTTCGCTGTCTGCCCGTCGTCATGTTCCAAATGCAAACCTTGCAACCTTGGTTCTGTTGGGAGAATAAACCAAAGTTCTTGATGGTCATCGATGTCGAACACAAGTGCTCCTGTTTCCGCATCCCAGACCTTTAGCGTGCGGTCTTCTTATGCGAAAGCGACAGTTTCTCACCAGATAAAAACTGTACACAAGTGACCCAATCAGTGTAATGTGACAGACATCTGATGATCTCTGCATCTCATGTGATCTTGCCATTGACCGCCCCGCTGACAACCCTTCTTCCCAGACCGCAACATCAGGAAAGCGTGGGGCTACAGGGTAGCACTACATAGCCTATGTTGTGCAGCGACGGTCCTGTCGCTGGAACACCTTCGTCTTCATCCGAACTTTGAGTTTTTGTGACGGGAGAGCCGCCTTCTCAGAATGTCAGAGAAGGATAACGATATACGGTTTACACGGTAAGAAGTTAGTTGAACCTGTGGTTAAGCCGGTCCTTTTAGTACTCATTATATATATGTAATTTGTATGCTGTACTTTTTTGAATAGAGACGGAGTACTGAGATAGGACAAGATCCGTCAGTTAAGCATAAACGAGAACGAAGTGCTAATGTTGAGTTGTCCGTCAGCTACCGAGCGGATTACCTCAGGTTCATCGCGAGTTTAAACTGAGGCTCAAACTGTTTGGTCTGTCAGCCATAGACAATTTATCCTGGGAACAACGCCAAACAAGGGCTGCACCCCATAGGCACTATCTGCGCAGGGCGTCCTTGAATTATCCTTCGTCAGTCTCTACACATTGTCGGCACAATAATCGTTGGATCAACAGGCTCGTTTAGTCATCTCACTGCGGTCAAAAGCAGAATATACTGGGGACAATATTGTTCTATAGTTCCGCATTGTAAGTACTATATACATGGGGCATCTTACAGATATCCTGACGCCGTTGTTCTGCTTATCCTCGGTATAATAGTCACTTTATCAACAGGCCCATTGCTCAATTTACTATGCCTGATCTTGATGGTACGAAGCGATTCAGATAAGCTAGCAACTCCAGGATCTAATTTTTGCCAGTTTGGACGCCTGCTGATAAGGGGAACAAATGGGTCTGCAACCTTTGTCAGGACAATAAACCCCATGATCGGCGGGCAGTTCAGAAGCACGAGAAGACCCAGTCTCATCAAAATGCAGTCAAACACCATGCGAGAAAACAGCAGCACCGCAGGAACAGCTCATCCAACTCCATTGTCGAGCTACGTGGTCTTCTCGATGACATGGCTGGCACTCCCGATTTTGAGCTGGGCGACGACTCAGCAGACAACATTAGCAACTACTCGATCACGACGGCAATGATTGCGCAAGGTTTAAGTGATTTTTTAGATGAAGTTGACCTCTCGGATGATCAGGGAGCTGAAATATCGGAAGATGAAGAGGTTTTTATGGGGCGGGCATTTCGTGACGGTATGTTACTCTAACTACACAGTATGCAGCTCACTCTCACATTTCGAGCAGATGGCAGCCAGGCTAGTGAGACTGCTATTGGAACCGGCGGTCATAATAGAACACGTTCTCGACATCAAATCGTGAATGAGGAGTGGTTTCCGTGGCCCGATAAAATTGTAAGGTCTTCTAGTATCAACCTGCCAACTGTTGTTGATCCAATGGTTTTGTATTAGACGTGCACGCTTGATATTCTCATGCACCTTCCGCGCTCTGTTTTTTCAGAACGACAGATTGACATTTTGCTCTGGCTACTTCGGGTCAACAATGTAGACGATGTACCTTCGGTGAAGTCTGTCAAACTCATCAAAGACACTATTCAACGGTTATGTGGTATCCGCTCAATCCCTTATGATGGTGCTCTTGGACATAAGTACTATGTTAACTCGCTGCCTGACATTATTCGGCAGGTGTGTTATGTTTTGTAATTAATATTTTACACTTAGTCGTGTTTGAAGGAAATGATGAATCCTCGAGTTCGCCCACTGTTACACTTCTACCCTGAAGATACTGGCATGGAACTGAATGAAGCTCGACAAGCTAAACGTTGGCTTGAGGAACTCGACCCGGAGCTGCTTACGCCTGTCGCCAGACTGCACAACCAAGATTTCTTTGTTTTCGAGCCTGCACTGTTATTGAGCGGCCGAGCTTGCATTCCATTTCGCTGGTTCACACGTGGTGGGAAGATGTACACTAAAGCTTGGTCATTGCGGCCCGTCACCCATGAACTGGACTGTGGTTGGGTTGTAGAAGATTTTCGTTCATTCGAAGTATCAGAAGATGACCTTCTTGTATCATTCAAAAACTGGGATTCGAGCGAAGCAACATCTGGTCTACCTCGCGCACACTCAATCTATGGTAGAATCATTTATCACTTTGACAATTACACTTACAAACATCTGTTTAGGTGTTGAACGTGAACCAAACGGCGAATTGCAGCCATGGACATTAACCAATCCTTCCGAAGGCAACAAATGGCGTGTTCGGGCATCGGGCGCTCGTGTCTATGCGATGCCTCTCTGGTTATACTGTGACGACACATCTGGAAACTTGTCGAAGAAGTGGAACAAACACAACTCTTTTCTTTTTACCGCTGCAGGATTGCCGCGTGCAGAAGTCCACCACGAGTACAACGTCCATTTTCTTTGTACATCAAATCTTGCCCCTCCGCTTGAAATGTTGGATGGTATTGTAGACCAACTCGAGTGAGTGAGATTTGTCACAAGCAGGCGAGTAGAAATAATGATGCTGGTACAATTTAGAGAATCATGGAAGCAAGGCATCTGGGCCTGGGACTGTGTCCACGAGGAGTACATTCTTGTCATTCCGTCTGTCTTAGCTTTGCTTGGGGACAACCCCATGCAAAGTGAGATGGCCTGTCATATTGGGTCGATGGGAAAATACTTTTGCCGTATGTGTAAAGTGAAGGGGCACGATGCAAGTGCGGAGAGCAATCCTGCACGAGCAGCTGCTGCACAGCCTGATGATACCGACCACAGTGTTGGTGAGGTTAGTGGAAGTGAGCCCGAAGCCCATACTGATGCTCCTCTGAAATCTACACGGAAACGAGCAAAGGAGACCATGGAGGAGATGGTAACACGGGTTAAGCGGTTTGTAAAGGTAACAAATCTGCGCAGTCTTGAATATAATTTTGTTTACGAAGCATGGTACCAGATAGGAGAACCACGTCACAAGAATGAAACCGTTTCTGAACTCAAGTCAATGTTCAGTCATGCATCGACAGTTGGGAATCAGACCCAGATCAAGCAGTGGAAGACTTCCACGGGCATCAAGGACACCTTTCTGGACTCATTCTTGAATCGCCTAGCTGAATCACACTGCAAAATTCGGGGTGGTAAGGCGAAACAGGAAGCGCTCGATAGAGTCAAAGAGACGCTGCCCGAAAACGTCACAAGTCCCGTTTGGCGAATAAAAGGTATCTCAACTATTTTCACAGCGTGGGATTGACTTCGACAATATCCCAGGTATCGATCCTCACGCTGACACACCCGTGGAAATCCTCCACACGGTCCTTCTTGGATTCGTCAAATACCTTTGGCGTGATGTGGTCTCTGTAAGGATCGGAAAAGACAAGTTGAAGCGCGAGCTTTTAGAAACTCGCCTATCATCTGTCGACGTCTCGGGTCTTGGACTCAGCCATCTTGCCGGTCACACCCTCGTTCAATATGCAGGGTCTCTTGTTGGTCGTGATTTTCGTGCCATTGCGCAGGTTGCACCCTTTGTGCTTCACGACTTGGTACCCACGGAATGCTATGATACTTGGGTTGCATTATCGAACCTGATACCACTCATCTGGCAGCCTGAAATCGAAAACTCCACGGAACACTTGGTATGTAGCACAGTACTTTTCAGTTTGATTTGCTGATATTGATATTATTCGATCATTATCGTCTCAGCGCAATCTCACGACATCAATCAATAACTTCCTTGCGTGCACTGCCAGGTGGACTCCTCGATGGTTCAATAAACCTAAATTCCATATTCTATTGCATGTTGTTGACCACATTCAACGATTCGGGCCAGCCGCTTTATTTGCAACAGAGGCATTTGAGTCCTTCAATGCTGTCATCCGCGCAAAAAGCATCCATTCGAACCACCGTGCTCCTTCTCGAGATATCGCGCGTTCTTTTGCCCATGGGAGTCGGATTCGTCATATTCTCTCGGGCGCACGAATACTGATACACGATAATACTAACGATATCCACTCTGATTCTCCCGATCTTACTCTGCAGGTCTCTAATCCCTTGTCAGACAAGCCGCCGGATGCTATAAATGTTCAAGTTGTCGGAAAGGGTCCATTGTCACTCGTTCAACGGCCGAATATCATCACGGACTACCTCGGACTTGATACACAGGCTGACACCACGAAATACGGTAAAGTTTGATTTTACACGAGTTCCGGCTTTGAGAAATATAATACTAAGTACCTTTAGGTCAATGCCTTCGTAGCAACCTACCACTCCAACCATACTCCACTACCGAGACAGGGAAATTATTCCCAAACGCACTCCGGTCCCTTCCAAATGACATTCTCAGAGGACATAATTTTCGTACCTGCAAGTCCGTGGTACTTTTCAACGGGGACATTTGCAAGATAGGAGACTGGGTCATTGCAGCTAAGGGCACAGCAGAGGAGTCTCCGATTGTGGCGTGCATTCGCGAAATCATCCAGCGCCAAGGCTCGGACGCAGATAAACTTCTGCGTCCAGATGCGATTCTTCTGGAACGCGGAAGTGTTGGTGAACCAGCGGTGTCCTACTCTATGCCCGCAGTCAGGGCACACGGCGGTTTCTTGCTCTATCCTGTTGAGGTTCGTGGTTTATCTGTACATGTTGTCAATCACTAAATTTCTGTTTCCGTGAAAGCAAATTTTATGCGCAGCAAATCTGCAGCATCAGTGCCAAGCGCACAACTGCACAAGCTCGCCTTCTGATATTGAGTTTGTTTATGAAGAACGAGCGAAGACGTCGAAAGCTAAGGCCGTGATACGTCATATCGGGGATCCTGATGACCTCGTTCTCAACACCGCACGGATGCGAGACGCAAAACACATGCAGGGCCTTCGGGTACCTGTTCAGCCACCCGATATGAACCTTGCAATCCTCGAGGGTGCTGCCAGGGAGATTCGGACACGTAACAATACCACAAGTGGAGCTTCCGTGACATCTACGGCGGCAGCACATGGACCACGTGGACGGGGTCGAGGCCTACAAGTTAATAGATCGCTGCAGCAACACCGGTCTGTATTACAAGTCCAGTAACGCAATATTATCCCATTCTACATATCATCTGCTACTACTATATTTAATATTATCCCATTCTACATATCATCTGCTACTAGTATATTTAATATTGATATCCCATTCTACATATCATCTGCTACTAGCTATAGTATCCCACCTCGATAATAATATTATCATCTGCTGTGCCGCCTCGAGACGTTTTGATCTTAGTTGATTACCAATACTTGCTGCTATGCGGTGTTGCCGTTTGGCTGCAGCCCACCAGATTAATACCATCCAACAGTGACTCAAAACTGGAACTCTTATGCCTCAAGGCCATCATTATAACAGCGCCCACCACCATCAAACATGGTCCTTATTACAACCACGAAACCGAAATTATACCTTGAGGTCATCCTTCCTGTGCCGGCTACCACCAAACATGATCCTTATTACAAGTAATAGGAAACTGAAGATATGCCTTGAGGCCGTCATTGATCCTGCACAGAACCCACTAATGTAAGTCAGGTTTTCGTATAAATATGTTAACAAGCATTACATCTCATTAGTAGAGCAGTTTCCAGCGACTCGCAAAGTCCAAGTCATTCATTCTTTTCACCATCCCAGTCTGCAAATATGTCCTTCGACTTCTCTATCCCACCTGCTGGTTCCCAGCCACGGGCATTATCATCATTCCAATTATCTGGTTCACCCGACCGTTCCGAGCCAGGAACTCCTTTGAATTCAAGTTTGCTGATGAGCCCTACTGGCTACCAACGCACTTCTGAATCCCCGCCTTCAAGTTCACGTCAACCACAAATTGACCCAAATCTCTTTGTAGACGAATTGTCTGCCCTCTTTGTGGACACACTTGCCAACCAATTTGGCCTTGGCGACGCAGAACAGGACTTACGGAAAAACCTACATGGTTTTGCTAAGGTACGTCAATGGTTTGATTTTTCATCCACGCACTGAGATTTTTTGCGCAGCTCGGTCATGGATTGAGCAAATCTGACCTTGCAACTAGAACTTATCTCCTCGGCAGTATATTCTGCATTCTCAAGGAGCAACGCATGATTGCTGCCTCTCACCAGTCAACGCAAACACTTCTCGCAGACTTACAAATCCGGCTGGAAGCCACATTTTCGCTTAGTCCGGAGCAACGAGTAAGTCTTTTGTGTGCGCCGTCATCTATCAGCTGTCTGAAGCATATAGACAAACATACGCATTGTGGGATGTGATCTCATTTTTGATCCTAATAGAATAACTTTCATGACACTGCACTTTGATGTGGCGGTAAGTCCGGAGTCATTAGATAGTGCTATATGCTTATTTTCTAATCCCACAGGATCATCTACGTGAAGATCGCGAGGCCTTTAAACTCACAAATATCTATGGAAACCCAGCTAGGGAACGTTTCCTGACCATCTATATCAACGTCAGTGTTCTAGTATCCGTAATTCGTTTCGCGAGTTGGTGCGCACCAGTGATTGATGTTTGTTTTCGTTCTCGAACTGATTACCTTATTGCAGCTACGTGACAGTGTCATCGGCGATAACACAAGCACACTATCAGACTTTATTTATGATAGTTCGAATCGTTTCCGTCGGGCAGGTGGAAATTCAGACCTTGGACATGCAACCCGTGCCCGTTTGGCCATTTTAGTACAGTCTTTCTCTATTTTATGACTGCCAAATTTTCTCGCTGATTCAAATTTCAGCGCCGTTTTGCATACGAAAACCCTCATTTGCTTGACCGGGCAGAGGAAGAAGATGAAAGTCCCACAACACCGAGTGCAGAGGACAATGGCGAAGACTCACCCATCGGAGAACCAGCCAAGAAGAAGCGCAAGCGTGGTCAAGGCGGGCGCATTGTCAAAGGCGAGGACTTCTGGTCCAAAGTCGAAATGTGGTTTGAGGCACGACAGAAGCAGTGGGGAGACTCGTGGGGGACAACAGGCTGGTCTTCGTATGTTTGTCCCACTGTCTGGCTGCGCATCGAGCTGACCTAGCCTCTAATAGATACATCAACCAAACCATCGAGCTCGATACCCACCGCTACCAGAGGCCAGTCGTCCAAAATCCGTTCATGATTGATGTCATTGTTCCAGAGGCTTACAGGGCACACGGATCTTCTGCTGCTTCCCTGAAGCAGAAGGCCCTAGGAAGTATGGAGGACATTTTGAGGCTCGTTTGAGGGAGCCAACACCTGTACATAGGCCCAGCACGTTCATTAGAATTCTGACTCGAAATTTCAACACCCTATAGCTAGTTTCTTTAATATAAATCCCCCATAATTCCAAAGCTAGCTTAGTCGACGAGGAATGATATTCACCTGAGGCTCTTAAGACAACTCAACTAGTACTGCGCAAATCTCGGATTGAAGATCAACGCTAATTGACGACCAATACTGCGCCAATCTCAGATTGAAGATCAATGCTAATTGGTGATCAGTACTATACCAACCTCGGATTGAAGATCAACACTAATTGGTGGCTAGTACTGCGCAAACCTCGGATTGAAGATCAACGCTAACTGGTGACCAGTACTGCGCCAATCTCAGTTTGAAGATCAATACCGTTTAGTAATTAGCATTTAGCCAATCTGAGCATGGGGATCAACTCTACATAGTTCTACTAAGCTAATCCTCCTGAGCAAAGGTTTGGTGAGATGGATGGGACAGGCTCCTCCAGGGCTTACATCAGTTCTATAACCGTTTAATTTCCTAGTACATAGCGAGTTGACCCTCATGTTCTGGAACTACTGGTAATCAGGTTCAATCACCCTCGTCCCCCGGATAAAAATACATTGCAACCAGCGGTTAAAGTTGAAAATGTCCTCAGGTCCAAACTACATTGCCCGTGGGACAAACACCGTGGTAAACGAGCTTGAGTGTCACAGCAAACGTCGCACTTCAGATTCAATAATACGGAGGCGCACTGGTCCTTTTTAAAATCTGTTTCAGTCTGACATTGTACTGTTTACAACTATTGTAGGCTAACCCCGGGTGCATCCAACCGTCTTGCTGTGTACGCAGTACTGTTGCAGTATAGTAAAGTTGAGTCGGAGTATGAAATTCTGGATCGTGCTCCTTGTCTTCAACACGCTCAGTCCGAATCTCACCTTATTACCGCGGTGGTCTCTAGGGGTTATTCGGAACTCTCTTGCGCCATAGCACATGTCCCGATGACCTGGACCACTAGTACCGTCCAGATTCTACCTTCAGAGGTTTTTTGGACATCGACGATGACTGGGAGTGTTGAAGCTTAGCAACCACAAACGGCGGGAAGTTCATGGATGATTCATGTAAGTTTGGCATGCCTTGCAATCTGTGTATTCATTTAAATTGTCTAGATTTGTACACATTTCGGTCTTATGCACTTGTGGATGTTTGTCAGGTCTCAGATATTAATACTGGGCGTAGCAACTGAAGGGAGGGGTGAAAGCACATGCTGTGGGTTACATAGCTGTCATGAGGAAGGGCGTTCGCAGACTCTACGAAAACGCGCTCATACTGGCCCATCGGTATAGCGGTCGCTCTTTGTGGGATTTTCAAGTGAGTGGGATCCTAATTGAACCATCTGTTAACATCCTGGTCATTTGAAAATCTTATCTGAACCTCCCGTACGGACCACAGTATATGTACCAGGAGATCTCGCTAGTTTCGAACACATCATACTTCCCAAAATTACTGGCCAAGACACGGTACATGGCCTCCAGCTCGACACAGCTCTCAGCAGCAAACAAATCGATCCCGACGCCAGTTATGACTTTGGAGTGTCATAAATCAGTCGCGAAAAACCCCCCGAACGACAAGTAACCCACCAGTCTCCATATGTCATCCGTTCCCTACTTTCTGGAGGGGGAGCAAATGATCAGCGGATCTTGGGACAATGCCACTCGTTGACGGGACCTGTGGGCTGGTAAGGAAGTCCTGGGGGCGCTGGATGTTTGTGAGAAAAATACATGGGAGCGGCGCAATGGCGCAGTATTGGCAACAACACTACTTCGGACGGCTGCATCGATCAATATCCACGGACAGCACGCGCTAGGTACTGGCATGCAGGCCTGTTTGCTACTTGGCATTCCTAACACATTTTGATTGATCTAGGGCCGAAAGGCGTCTGGACAACCCTGATTACGACGGCAGTTGGTATGGTCTGTTCGTAACGTTGCGAAAATTATTGTGGCTGCTTTACTCTAGGAGACTATGATTCATGTTCTGGTAGTAGGCAAAGAGATTGGAGCACAAAGAGGTCGTCCGAGAAGGTTGAACTTCTAGTCGTTCTTTTGTATCAAATATCTTGCGATGTTGAATTACATACCCTATGACATAAACGTCATATTCCTAATTAGTGCTAGTGAGCACTGACCTAAGCACACAAAGCCTCGCGCTCTCACTGAGGCAAACACTACTTGCCGGTACAGAGTGTGAATGACAAGCTCACCATCAAACGGTGGCTCAAAATCGAGGTCGAGGTTCTCCGCAGCTCCTCCTCACTAGCTGTCATGTTATTCCATGTCGTGTTGCTTCAAGTTCTCCTGTCTATGTTCTCGAGCCTGATGGGCTCAGCCTACGGGTACATACCGGCGCAGCCTTCCAACGACACGAGTCAGATGAATGGCATGAATGCGTCGAGGTTGATTCTTCAGTGGTACTCGAATGGGTGAGATTCGCCAGCGCGCCTTTCACGTTCCCCAATATTCTGACCTACTCCGGTTGGTTGGTTTCTTACTAGTGCGGATTGGGAGTACGTGTCCTACCAGCTTGTGGGCGCAGATAGCAACGGTACCACTAAGGTGCATATATATCTAGTATGAGCTGACTTCGGATCTCATCATTCAGCAGGGGGCACTCGTACACTTCACTGAGGGTCTAGCAGTGAACGAGACAAGTAGGCGTGCATCCTCTATTGACTCGGCGAGGACACTCATGCGGTAATTCACAGCAACCACCCCTTGGATAGCTCTTGTATCGTGCGATGCTAATGCAACGAACTATTCTGATGGGGTCGACATATTTACGATGGCGAGCAGCGCAGGTGCTCAATCTGCTGTAAGAACGTTCCGGTTGCTCGTATGTCGACAATTACGGTGCCAATTCTTCCATTGCAGCTTCTGTATTCTCTTTATTCCCAAACTTGCGCCATCAATCCAGAGTATGCTGATCCCGCTAATTTTGACCAAGTCTTCGATATATTCTCAACTCAGTCAAGATCGGTCTCGAGGTGAGTTTGATTGTGCATGCTTGTGTAGACCTCTGGTTTACGAGTCCCTAGAAACATTCAATACGAGTTCGGGCAAGGTGGACTCACTAATCTATCTCTTTATGAAAACTTCGATGCAAGTACCTTGAATGCATCCAAAACAATAATCGACCAGTCTATATCGTCAGGCTATCCTACCGCTCCTGGCTATCTACTTGCAACTCTGCAGGCTTGGAATGCCACAGGAATCAACTCTACGGGGACAAGTGACAATAACAATGGCTCCAATAGCACGACTACAGATCAAGGTAGTAAAAAAGAAACAGGTTTAGCTATGTGAGAATGATTTGATAATTTCGTTCAATTACACTACTGAAACTGATCATAGGATCATCCTATATGCTATCACCGGCTGCGTTTCAGCTTTATTTTGCATTGTCATCATCTCAGGAGTATGTTACGTTGCATTATCGGTTCTTCAAGTTGTGGATCTAAAAATTATCTAGGCAATTAGGGCAATACGTCACCCTGAGAGATATGGTCCCCGAATGGCGAATGGCGACCCCCGTGGCTCACGGGGCGGGAGCCAAAGCCGAGCCAGAGGCCTTGGACGGGCCATTTTGGACACATTCCCCATTGTGAAGTTTGGTACTGCGCCGGATGACGGGGAGGTTTCCACTTATCCAAGACCCAAGGATGTTGAGTCGCCCCCTGTCGATGCCGATACAACACTGCAACAGTTAAGTGATGCAGTGGAGATGGACACCGTCTCCAGTCACGCAGTCCAGCGACCATTACAATCAGTGGGAGAGACTAGCGAGAGACAAATTCCTATCGCTGGTGCCACAGAAAACGTACATGGTAGGGAGGATGCACAATCTGATGCACGAGCTGTACCTCGGCTGATGCTTCCACGACTGCCTGCTACTTCCGAAGCGTCACCGTCTTCAGCACGGGATGTTAATCCTCTGATGCCAGAGGCAATTGGACGTGAAACATGTCCCATCTGCATTGTTGACTTTGAGGAGGGTGATGAGTTAAGGGTATTACCTTGCGAAGGAAAACATCGTTTCCACCAGGCGTGCGTTGATCCATGGCTTTTAGAGCTTTCCGGTTCTTGCCCATTATGTCGACAAGGTGAATGTCTCCTCGCAAGCCCGATATACCTGTTACTGACGGACAACAGACTTTCACGCTCTTGAGACGATGCTGTCAGGGGGCGCGGGTGATCGCGATGCTCTTTCGGTATCTCCTTCCAACCGGCGTATCAGCCAAGCACCATCGATTCAACAAAATCGCTTTTCTCGGTATTTACGATCGGCACGGCGGCGGCACGGCGAGCTTGGAGAACACGATAACGATACTACAGACTCGTCTATGGTTGCGCCTGGACCATTTGCTCTGACCCTTTGACCATTTACACATATTTATTTTTCACTGATTTGCATTTAAATGTTGTACTCATAGTATGGACCGCGCTGTGCACGAGTCTTGTGAGATGGACGATAGGTATCTCCGTGTTCTATTGCTATGTAAGGTTGCCTCTCTGTATCTTTACCATCTATCTCATTCCGTCTGAATCAACTTAACCGAACGCTCGCGCCCGTCAGACTGTAAGTGATTCATGTTACTGCATCGTAGGAATTAGTACTATTCGTACGAGTACAATTGAAATCTCGCCATCAAGGCGCTTGCAAAAATTCCGTGATCTTCTCTGTTATGAAAGCGATATCGGGCGGGTTAGCGCCACCCCCTGCAAAATGACCCCAGATCGTTGGGATCACCTGCAATTTGGCATCTCTGAGGTGAGACACTTCGTTTTCACTGTCCTCCGGCTTTGATGGTGTCAGTAGTCGGCTCGCGGTTGCTTGGTGCAAGACTGACCGTAAAGTAAAGATCCGTCTTCGAAGGTATAATAAGTCCCTTTGCTTTGATGCTCTTCAGGGCCTTTTCGTAGTCTCCGCCATCACGAATGATAGAAATGTCTCCTTTCTGCCACGTGTTCAAAAGTGCAATCATGTCGTTTGCATCCCAGTTATTGAGAAATCTATTTTCCCACCGCTCCCTGATGAACGAGTTCAAGTCTGGAAACCTGTTCGCAAAATTCCATGAGGAGGTTAAGGGGCATGTATTCCGACATGGCTTACTCTCCGTCCATCAGGTACTTGTGCTCCCGGAACCACTATAAAAGATTTAGTGTTCTGTTATTCCACTGTGAAGTAACTCACAGTTTGCCCATAGGCCCATGCGCTGTAGACTCGAGCGAATGCTCGGATTCCATGCTGAGGAGTGCTCTGATAATGACCGTCGGCAAAATCTTTGCTTGCTAACATCGCTGCCTTGGGCCCTTCCAAGAAGCTAGAGCACAAGTCGCATGTGGACAAAACAAATTCAGACAAAGACCCACCATTGGTTATGTGGACTTGTGCGAGCAGACGAGCATATAGGAACAAACCGATCTACAAAGTCGGGGAAGACGACTGGCCAGTGATATGCCTTGGGATATGACCTGAGAGTGTGTCCGTGATATCTTAAAGAGGCGAAGTACCTGTTGTCCGCCCATAGAAAATCCAACCACGCAGAAGACCTTGCGCACGCCAAGGTGCTTTGTCAAAACTGCGTGCTGAGCGCGACTTGTCGAGGTGAGCCTGTATTCTGTTTGCAAGTCGTTTCATAACCTACATGTTGTCTTCGTAGGAAATGAATGGGAAGTACGGGCCACCATAAGGTGCAGGCTACGGGCTGTCAGAAAGGGAGAAAAAATGTGCAATGATCGAAACTAACTGTGTTAGAAGGAGAAGACGACTAGATTGTTTCAGTTAACGGAATAGCAAAGAAGAAGGCAGCACACCTCTCCATTACAGAAAAGCGCGAATGTTACCACGAAGTATTTATTTGGGTCAAGGACCTGTTGTCAAAATATGGAGATCACGCATTTCACTACACGAACATATACGTACCTTGCCTTCCCCAACGAGGTAGTCTTGACCTGTGTGCGATTAGATGAACAACTGTCTTCGTGGTCACAATCAATGAAACACACTCCCAAGGGCAAGTTTTACCCCAAAACATGTCGGGAAAACAATCACTTTGTCGTTGCTTGGGTCTCCGTATGTCCGGTATGCAGTTACGGCATCAGGGAGCACTCCTCCTGCTACTTTGAAGCGACCGTGATGATAATACTGGTTTAGTGTCTGCATGAGGGGAGAACCTAAGGGTGGAAAGGATATACTCGTCGACCCCATGCTTTTATGTCACGCGCGTATGGACCTCAAACACCATGAGTGTGCCGATAAGTAGTTCAGCTGGGCAATGGTTCTTATGGTCACGAGCCACCTGTAAGACCGCACGAAAGTGCGCGAGTAGGGAGGGGATGTGTAGACCGCTGGAGGATATAAAGAGAATATAGTTAGTTGACAGAGAACGAGCGCGAAGATAAGGAATGGAGCAAGATAGAGATGTTAGTTGTGAACTAGGAAGGAGTCTTGTTGAATAGCGAGTGCGAGAATGAAACTTCGATGCTGGTTATTATTGCGCTGCATGTAAGGATTGTACATGGGCTACTTATACTGCAAAACGGTAAGGGTCCTCGGGTACGATTGAGCCGAACGAATATGTGGCGACGGAGGCTGAAGGGAGTGGCGTTGCGCCTGACAGGGTAGAATAGTGAAAATTAAGAAAAAGGGTGAGGAAACTGAGTGGGTAGTGGTAGGAATGGGTATCGTGTAATGGAGTAACGAGAGATGCATAGGTTTTGTTGACAGATATGGAATGGTTAGGTTGCGAATAGGGTGATGTTGACGAGAGAATGGTTCTGGACGTCGAATAGGTCGGTAACGGCGAGTAATTAACGGTAAACGATATCGTGGATCGTGCTGGTCGACATTGGCGGCGAACTGAGGTGGCGGTTGAGGTGAGTGGTGGTTCGGCTGTTTCCGGTGGTAGCGGCTTGGTAATCCTTACACCTCCCCCCAAGTACAGATATCAACCGTCCTCGGTTGATCCTTCGACAAATCCAACATCTGACGAGTCTGGCAATCCCGCGATAGCGTCTGCATCAATAATCTGCGTGACTTCAAGAGTTGTCGTCGAGCGCGAGTGATAGGGGATGAGACGAAATGCAGCAAACTTGAGCTTCGAAACTGAACCATCGACTTCCGCGAGATGGTAAGCGCCGTTCACATTTCGCGAGATGACAACCATAGGACCGAAATAGCGCGGTTTACACTTGGCGTTCGACGAGGGCTCGATTTTCTTATTGAGGACTAACACGAGCTCGCCTGGTTTGAAACTTCGGTGTGATATAGTGTTCGAAAACGCCGCTCGAAGTCTTTGACGGACGCATAACGACTTGCGAGGATGCGATCGTGGATAGTGTGCGAGATCGTCGTCACGTTTTTCGAGCTGTCGTGCGCGGGCTGCAAGTAGTTCCTGGGTAGAGATGATACTGGTGATGTCGGGCATGAGGAAAGTTGCTTCTGTGATGTCGAAGGGGAGCAGTGGCTCGACACCGTGCGCCATGTAAAATGGTGTGTGGCCCGTGGATTTTCGAGTTGTTACTCGATCAGCCCAGAAAATGTGTGGCGCGACAGTTGGCCACTGTGTGATGTCGCCTCGACAGGCTTTAACGAGTGAGTCACGAATCGTTCGATGCGAACGTTCGACAATACCATTGGCCTTGGAGTTGTAGGCCGAAATTCGAATGTGATGGATATGGTATTTCGACGCGAGCCAGTCGAGCGCAGCCACGAACGGCGTCCCATTGTCGGTAACGATTTCCTCAAGTCCACCCCATCTACACAGCAACTCTTCGAAAATGAATGCCCCTAGCGTGCGACCTGTTTCCCTTCGCAGCATCCGCCATTCGGGCCACGCTGTCAGCGAGCATCGAGCCTGCACGATGTAAGAATATCCGTGAGAAGTCGGCATGTGCATTGAGTCAGTGTAAGCTTTGCGAAATAAGGGAGCGGGAATGGCAACTGTTGGTGGGAGAACGACTTTTTCGACAGATCGAAGTTGGCATTGGTGACACGTTTTGAGATACCACGAGAGGTCGTGATCGAGAGTTGGCCACCAGAAACGATCAGCAATGGTTCGACGAGTGGAATAAAATCCTTTGTGTCCAAGGTTGTCGTGAGTTTCTCGAAGGATGCGAGTGCGATCGAGTTGAGAAATGACGAGCTGGTGACGACCTGTGGGATTACGACGCCAAAGTCGTTTATTATGAATGAAAAATTGCGCAGCTCGTTTAAGGAAACGAGTGCGACTTGAGAGCTGCATACCCGAAGGTAATGCAAGTGTCTCGAGATAGTGTTCGATGGCCCGAAGGTCATCGTCACACCATTTGGAGCTTCTGTCGTGCGGGAATTCGAGGTCAGTACTTGGGTCGGCTTCCGCAGAGATGAAAACCTGTGCCCTCGTCATCATTCCATGATTTCCGTGACGAGAAGTCCAACACCATCCATATCCCATAACTCAGCACTTCATCTATCCATTCTTCTACCTCGTCAGAGTCTTCTTCGTCGAAATCTTCATCTTCCAGTGCATGACGACGGCGCGAGAGGCCATCAGGGCCGGTGTGCTTGGATCCTGAGACGTGTTTGAGCGTGAAGTTGAATAATAATATTCCCGCGATCCAGCGGTTCACCGCTGTGTTTGGCTGAATGTCCGGATTGTTAAGCATGCCTTTAATGTATTTTGCATCGACCTCGACAATGAAATTCTTGATACCGATAATCCAGACTTTAGCAGCTTTGAGGGCACGAAATAAGCCGTATAATTCAATCTTGGCTTGAGAATAGCGTGATTCTCGATCATTCCAGGTAATCGAGCCAAAACGAGAGGGTCGACGACGGTTTTCGTTGTCGAGTTGAAGCAAAATCCAGCCACAGGCAATATGAGATGAGTCGACAGCGAGAACGACGGGATTGGGGCTATGGTAATCGATTGGTCGAATGGCAGGAGAGTTGATGATAGCGAGCTTAAGGGTATCCATGGCAGCTTGAGTGGTTTCGTCCCAAGCAAAAGGTACTAAAAACCCGCGAACTTCGGAACGTGTTGTGCAGGGGGGCCAATTCTTGATTTTGACGACCTTTGAATCATCTGGAATGCGTCCTTCATAAATACAACGCTGTCCGACAACAATAACCTCTGGCACGCAAATGAAAAGCTTCTTCGCTGATACTGTGGCTCCCGCGTGCTTGAGGCGATGAAAAACTCGATTGATGTCTAAGCAGTGTTCCCAAATGAATCGTCGAATGCCGGAGTTCTCGGGGATGGTTTCAAATGTGCCATTAGCGAGCTCGTATCGTGTGCGAGGGCCGAGAACGTTTACATCATCCTGAAAATTTGGTGCGATGTCAATTTCGTTCTGTAAAATAAATGCAACATCATTTTGAAAGACTGCGGGAGAATCTGTCCAGCCCATAGGCAGTGCTGTGAGACGGAATGTGCCGAGTGGTGTCTGGAATGTGGTAAGGTCGCGAGATTCTTCGGCTAAGGCACGATGATCAAATCCGACGAATAAGTCCATCATTGTGTAAACCGAGCGTCCGGCTGACTGTTCTGCGAATAACTCGACGTACGGGAGAGTAGCAGCATCCTTGACAGTGACCGAATTTAGTGGTTGAAGGTTATGGACAATACGGATCGAGCCATTCTTCTTCGACACGCAAAACCAACTCGATTGATAAGAGCTGTTTGATGGTTCATAAATCCCCGATGCGATCTTCGATTTAATAAGGGCAATGACCTCATCACGAATTCCTGGTGGGATAGGTGGTTGACGATGTACCCAGGGGGTATGTTCTATAGTCGGAATGATGACCGGCGGGAAATAATCATCGCGAAATCGTCCTTTTTCAGTCTCGTCCCATGCTAGAGCTAGCTCGTTAAGAGACAGTACGTGTGCTGCTAATTTTCGCTCCTCGGGCCATAGAAATGAATTCTGGAAAATGCCGAGTTCATTTAGACGTTCGGCTGTAAGACGAGTGCCAGAGACGAAGTCAGGTGGAGTTGGAGAAACTGTGGGGAGTGATAGAAGGGGATCCTCGGGGAAGCGACGAATGATTCGCGCATGAGCAGGCATGGTTGTTGCAACGGGCTTGATTCTATTAGCAACCTTCTTGTAGGCCAGGACTCGTCGAACCGGGTCATAATCAAATGCTTCCCGTAGCAACTGTTCTGCGAGAGGGGTTGCCGTGACGTGCGACACTGCAGACGAGGGAATTGACACTCAATGACGAGCTATTTAAGGCAGCTGCTGTGAGCATAAGCGTGCTTAAGTGAGGTGGAGGACGAGGGAATGTAGCACAGGTTCGAACTCGAGTGATATCTGAAGGATCGTGAATGGTGACATATACCATTTCCGCCGTCTCCGACTTCGACAATCGAACGAGCCGTTGCCACGGTCGTCCTAAGAGTAAACGATAGGGTGCGTCGGGTATGACATAAGCATGGGCCCATGTTTTGATGCCGTCGACGTTGATCTCGAGCATCTCAAGACATCCTGTCATATCCTGAGAACCTCCGTTCGCAGTCTGCATTCGCATGCGAATGCCCTTGTTGATTGGGGCTTGAGTCTTCTTCCAGACATCTTCGCGAATAACGACTAGTTCTGAACCTTCGTCGAGCAATGCCATCTCCATATGGATTCCGTTGAGTGTGACTTTGAGTTCACGAAGTGGCGTGGCATGTTCAATTTGCGGTGGTGGAACAGCGATAGCAGCAGTGAGAGTGGTGGCTGACGACGACGCAGCCACTCGATGCGTGCGGCAGTGTTCAACAGCTTCCCTACGAAGATCCGGACTTATTGTGAGAAGATCAGAAACTGTGACATTGGGAACTGTCGTATTGAGCATGTTGTGGTAGATGTGAGATGCTGCGTCAGGAGTGGCTGCTTTGGACTCATAAACGAAGGCAGGAGTCTTCTTGGGCGGAACATTGGGAATATCGGGGGGCAGAATTTCGATGGAATGAGTTTGGCTGCGTGCACACGATGCAGCCGTAGTTGTAGTATTAGACCTACATATTATGGCAACTACCATTCTTACCATAGACACTTTTGACGGCAATTACCAGCAGCGCAATTTGACCTAATCCATGGCATTTGTCAGGCCCTATTTTGCTGGGTGTTTTGGCTTTCACAGCCGCATTTTTTGGATTTTTGAAACTCAGCTATGTTTTCAGTCACAAATGTGTTTTCCACATTTGTCAGATGTTTTGGTATGTTTTATTCCGCAATTTTGGCCTCCAAAAGCGGAAATTCACAAAACACATCCTGTTTTGGTCACCTCCTCATGTCAGGCCTCCCCACATTATTCCCACACTCCGCATTTTCGCATTTTTAGCCACCTACTGTGGGAATTACCCCACAACACCCAAAACATCATCCCAATATGGTATACCACATAATTATAATTATTCCCACACCCTCCCCACCTCACTGCAGCTTCACCACTACACCACAATAGGTCCCCCCTTGTATCTAAGTAGTAGTTTGGTATATACATGTATAATATTATATAATAGACCGCTTTTTTTGTCAATTTGTGTGCCTGCTCATCCTCCAGGGCCTTTTTCAAACAGGGTAGGGTACAGAACATTTTCGCATTTTTGCCCCTTTGATAGGGGGGTGTTCCAGGACATTCGGAACATATTTATGAGCATATATGAGTAGATTCCCATCTTTATTTCACCCCCTGAAGTGTCCTACATCAATAGATATAGCACATATGCAAGAAAACACAGAATATGTTCTCATGTGATTATTTCTAGGTGAAGAGCCTTGTAATAATGATTCCAAGCATCTATTTAACAATAGGAACAATGTATCAGGAGCCCAGGACCATAGGATAATTCCCTGTTGCATGGTGTGCCCCCCCTCTCCTGGTGGTTTACCCCCTGTGAAAATTTTTCCTGTAGGACCGGACCTCAATTGAAGGTAGGGGGTCTATTCCTATGTATATTTGAGGTAAGTCTATCATATAGCTGGCCCAGGACACACATAGGATCCTGCTACAGGAACAAAAACATAGAAAATCGCATTTTTGACACTTTTGATGTTTTTTAGTCCCTTACACTTGCACAAATGACCAGGCTTGCTCATATATGATCAGTAGTACATTCACAAATATGTTTTGTGCCAAGGATCAGCCCTACATAGGGTGAAAATGTGATATATGATGTACAGGGGCTTTTTCTACTGATAAGAAGCCTACATAGTAATCAAGCCTGTGATAAGTAATCAAAGACCTGGGATATGTCCCTATATATGCCCCTGATGATAGATTTGAAGATTTAGAAAGATCCATCAAGGGACTGACTGAATGACAAGTAAAACCACATATGTGTGAAAAGTGACAATTGACATCTTTTCACACAAAGTTACATTTATATATGATACAGGTCAAATATTTCATTAACAATATGTAGGATACATTGTAGACTACTAAAGGAACATATACTACATACTGCCCTGAGGTTGAAGGGTGGTGGAAGGGATGTGGTGTATGTCTGAGTTGACCTAGCATTAAAGTGCTACTATTGCTCAACTGACCATTTTCGATGTTTTGGGTCTCTTGAACTTTCCCACACTCAATTTTCTATCTATTTCACTTCCTCAGCACTCAATTCTTGTAGGATTGTTCTGTACATTTAGGACTATGATACTGAGTATATTTTAAATCTACTCCAGGTGTCTGATTATTAAATTTCGATGTATTGAAAGTATGGGATCCTTATCAGTAGAAATAGCAAGTATTCACACTAACTCAAACCTCTGGCCTATTTTGAGCTGATCCTTGTTACAAAAAGCAAGTATATATACTATGATAATGATATATGAACAGGTTGTATTATTTATGCAAGAGTAAGATAGTGAAAACATCAAAAGTGTCAAAAATGCGATTTTCTATGTTTTTGTTCCTGTAGCAGGATCCTATGTGTGTCCTGGGCCAGCTATATGATAGACTTACCTCAAATATACATAGGAATAGACCCCCTACCTTCAATTGAGGTCCGGTCCTACAGGAAAAATTTTCACAGGGGGTAAACCACCAGGAGAGGGGGGGCACACCATGCAACAGGGAATTATCCTATGGTCCTGGGCTCCTGATACATTGTTCCTATTGTTAAATAGATGCTGGGAATCATTATTACAAGGCTGTTCACCTAGACATAATCAAATGAGAACATATTCTGTGTTTTCTTGCATATGTGCTATATCTATTGATGTAGGACACTTCAGGGGGTGAAATAAAGATGGGAATCTACTCATATATGCTCATAAATATGTTCTGAATGTCCTGGAACACCCCCCTATCAAAGGGGCAAAAATGCGAAAATGTTCTGTACCCTACCCTGTTTGAAAAAGGCCCTGGAGGATGAGCAGGCACACAAATTGACAAAAAAAGCGGTCTATTATATAATATTATACATGTATATACCAAACTACTACTTAGATACAAGGGGGGACCTATTGTGGTGTAGTGGTGAAGCTGCAGTGAGGTGGGGAGGGTGTGGGAATAATTATAATTATGTGGTATACCATATTGGGATGATGTTTTGGGTGCTGTGGGGTAATTCCCACAGTAGGTGGCTAAAAATGCGAACATGCGGAGTGTGGGAATAATGTGGGGAGGCCTGACATGAGGAGGTGACCAAAACAGGATGTGTTTTGTGAATTTCCGCTTTTGGAGGCCAAAATTGCGGAATAAAACATACCAAAACATCTGACAAATGTGGAAAACACATTTGTGACTGAAAACATAGCTGAGTTTCAAAAATCCAAAAAATGCGGCTGTGAAAGCCAAAACACCCAGCAAAATAGGGCCTGACAAATGCCATGGATTAGGTCAAATTGCGCTGCTGGTAATTGCCGTCAAAAGTGTCTATGGCAAAACTGGTAGTTCCCATTTTACTAGGTCTAATACTACAACCAGGGGTGAGGACTGATGGTGAAGCACCAGAACGAGGTTGGGCAAATGCCAACCGTGTCGCATCTAGCACAAAGGAAATGGGGCCAGGAACTCGACGTGACACCTTAGACGATCACTTCGGTGATTGGAATTGGAAAAAGACGACAACACTTGGTGGGTTTTCATTGTCGAGTATTATGTTCCCCTCACTGATACTTCAGACTCTCAAGGCCGTACGTTGAAGCGCAAGATGGAAAACGCCATAAAGTGGGAATGGGAACATCGTGTCGCCTTGTACGATTTGGAAGGAACAATTCAGCCTGTGCTGCTGGACGAGTGGGGAACAGAAGTCGAGATGTGGGAGGAGGACAACACTCGCCCAAATCCGTTCGAAAGCAAGCTTGCTTGTACATCACTGCCCACACATTCTATGAATTCGCGCTGATCATCTGCTGTATGTGTAGCTATTACGCAGGCCACGGTAAGGTCACAGCTCGCAGAATTGGAAGCACAAGAGCTGCGGGAAGGGATCAACCACTCTCTCGACGACAATGTCTCACCTAGCGTCCTCATTAGTGGTGGGATTGAATTAGAAGACTTGCAGTATGTGACGTCTCTCTTTCAACATGTGGTCGTTGTTCAAATCTTATGACAGACAACGGCTCAAACGCGACATTTCAGACCTCTCGCTTCATCCCACAGACAATCAAAGAGAGGCCATCATTCATAGAACTAATGCACTACAGAGACGCATCAATTCCTGGACCCGCTATCAACCACTCTATATGCCTATTGTCTCCACGCTGCGCTCATCAACGAATCCAAGTCCAGGTGCCCCCCAAACACTTAAGCCGCAGGATTTTCCACTCTATCTACCATCAGCTCTCAATCATCTCGACTGCAATCACCGTTTAATGAAGCACGAATGGAAACTTCGGCAGGCACAAGCTCACGATGCCCTCAACGAGCTCCGCTCCCACCTTCGTTTACGTTCGCACATTTACAAATTCAAAGACAAGAACTTACGGGGCCAAGCAGCTTCTACCCGTGCACAAAATCTGATTGCACGCGTCGAAGCAAAGAAAGATGCGGCGGTAGCGAGATACAGGTGCGCTCGTCAAGCGATAGAATCACTAAGCTGTCGGTTGGATGAGATGGGCTGGGAGGCAACACTTCGACCCCTCAGACACGAGGACATTCGGCCTATGGGCGATTTCACAGGTGATCGCACTCAAGGCACCGGGACAATCTCGTGGATCTGGCTGACGACAGATGTCGACACCAGTCCATCCGAGAATGAAAGTGTTCAAGATTGTGAGTGTTTCTGGTTGATGCTATCGACAGCTGACTCAGATTGCTTTATGTAGGTGTTCATATCGAATGGTGCAAGGCACGCGCACGCGCAGCTCGATGGTCCGAGGAAGTAGAGTTGCTGGCCGAAGAAATGAGACGAGTACTTGCCTTTCTGGAATGGCAAGGCTCCTGGTGGCATCAGTGCACAACGCTGCGCTCATCGGAGAAGACTACCGAGCAAGAGGGCTTGTAGGCATATGCCTACCGTCAAGCCGCACTCCGTTCTGCGATGCGGACCTCATTCCAAGCTCGTTGGAGCTTTGTTTCTCATCTCAGTTCTACGAGTTCTATGTCGGCTTCTGAGGATGACAGCGGTCCTTCAATTGACGCACCTCCTGCGGTCATGGAGTTTTGATTTGAACAATACATAGTGTTTGTAGTGTAGCGGCACTCTCAGGCACCACAATACACATATTTTTGCATCCAGGCTTGATCGCAGATTGATCACAGATGCTCGATCTCAGCAAGAGAAGCAAGGCTCAATCTTAGACGGCTCGATCGTAGATTGCTCGATCAAATCTCAGGGCACAACATGAGCACAACTTGAGTAGAACACAGTACTATACTCGGACATGGCCAATGGATTGCACTAGGGCCATCGGGAACCTATAGTCTACTGTACAGCCATGTATCACACCACTTGTAGCTCTCAGTAATACATGTATCACGAATGTCTTATGGTTGTAGGTAGTGATACATCAATCCTACAGGTACAGGTGCTTTGACGGTTCGAAAGACACTTTCTCGGCGTGGTTCCGTCATGTTCTCATGTACTTTGAGAGCCAAGACACTGTGCCAAAACCGAAACAGAAGATAATTTTCACAATGTCCTATATGAAGACTGGCTTTGCGGCGGAATGGGCTGCGCTTGCTTATGATCGTGAATGTGCCAAGGTCTCTGCGCAAAATCGTTGGGACTGGGATGCGTTTGTCGTTGATCTTAAAAACGCGTTTTCTCCCATCAACAAGATCCGTGATGCACAGGAACGTCTATCGACCCTCACGCAAGGAAAGATGCCTATCGAGGAGTTCTTAACTTGTTGGACGCAAATCCTTATCACCGCCGGCTACGCTAATATCAAGGCCGACACCACCACTGCTGATCATCTCATTAATCTTCTTCGTACCAACGTTCATCTTGATATCATCGACTCTGTTGACGAAGAGTCCGAAATGTATGGCTGCCGAGACTTGGATAAGTGGTTGAATCGTATTCTAATCAAAGGAAGGATCCTTGAACGGCGCCACACTTGTCATACTGCGGGGGTCAGCCGAAGAACTCCTAATCCAAATTATCACCCCTCTCTTAAATCTGAGCCTCCTCATCCTACTTCATCTAGTGGAGACCGTACAGATCACAGCGGCACCACTTATGGAGGCCGAGGCCAACCCATGGATCTCAGCCGTCAACGAGCTCGTGACAACAACCTCTGCTATCGCTGTGGCCAACCTGGCCACATTGCACGCAGTTGCAAAAACCATGCCCAAGCAATTCGTCAGATGCTCGAGGACCTCGATCCGGAGGAGAAAAAGGGAGTAGTTGAAAGTTTGGGTTTTTAAAATGGTCGGAAGGTAGCGTGATCTCACCGACCAAACGTTCATGTCTATCGACATCCACATCTTGTACACCATCACATACGGACCACTCTTCTAATCGATTTTCTGTTCTTGATGTGATAGACTCGGATGAAGCGCATGATGAGCTATGGGCTGGGAGTGATATACCTACCCCTATGCTCTTGCCTAAGGGAAACGGAAGCCAAAGCCCGAAGGTTCGAGTGACGCCTCAACAGCAAAAAGTGAACAAGCCACTTGCATCTGAGGTATCGGAAACTGCAGACCCTCTACCCCAGATTGCAATCAACACTCACTCGAATCCGAAGGCGGAGGTGCGTGGAAGTGGTAGATCCAAGGGCGAAAATACTGCAACTAGCCCAAGGGGACCCCACGCAACCCGAGTACCTGCAGTAAGATCATGGTCGCCTATCTGGTACGCCCAACATCTGCGAGACCAGTCATCGGAGCAAGCTATAGCTTTACTTTGTATCACTGTGCACCCTAAACATTATCTTGAAGCTACCCATCAAGTACTTCACGAGTTAAATAAACTAACGGTCGAGGAGGCAGCAACAGCTATTCACGAGTTACATGGACCAAAACGATACATCCGCGGAACAGGGAATTCAATGTTCCTACCTGTGTCTTTGACCACTATCGACGATTGTCGGTCCATTGCAACTTGCGCCCTTCTCGATTCCGGATGCATGGGATCATCTATCAACGCTGGATTCGTTCAGGCTAAGGGGCTCAACATGCATAAGCTTGCACGCCCAGTCCCAGTATATAATGCAGACGGATCCTTAAATAATGGGGGTTCTATCACAGATTACGTGGTACTGCAACTTGCCATAGGTCAACATGTCGAACGTATCACTTTTGGGGTCACAAATCTCGGAAGCAGTAATATTTTCCTCGGATTAGAGTGGCTCAAACGCCACAATCCATCTGTTGACTGGCAAGACGGGACTGTTCAGTTCGACCGGTGTCCTAAGGAGTGTGGGTATTCGATTTCCCCACATGAGCCTGAAGACTCCGGAGAATTGATCGGCTGTTTGCATACTAATGTAGAAGAGCCTGACCAGGAGGTCAACCTTGAGGAAGGGGAGAGGATCTTTGCTTTCGACTACGAGGGGTATGTAAAAACAGGCTCCGAGCATATTCGAGCGCATACTACCACCTCGCAACAACTGGCTGAGGAAGCATCCAAGACGAAGGTTAAAAAATCCTTTGAAGAATTAGTACCTTTGCAGTATCATAGTTTCGCGGACATTTTTAAAAAAGAGTCGTTCGACGAACTCCCTCCGCGAAAACCATGGGATCATGCTATTGAGCTGGTTCCGGGAGAACATGCTATTGACTGCAAGGTATATAATCTGAGTCCGGAGGAACAGCGGGAATTAGACACTTTCCTCGAGGAAAACCTTCGTTCAGGACGAATTCAACCCTCGAAATCACCATTTGCTTCAGCCTTCTTTTTTGTCAAAAAGAAAGATGGAGCGCTTCGGCCAGTACAAGACTATCGGAAGCTGAACGCGATCACAGTCAAAAATCGCTATCCTCTACCTTTGATTCAGGAACT